AATACATGCGCAAGCGCAAAACCACATATATACACATACACACACAAAACACATATACACAGTCTGGGCCACAGCAACACGTGGCAGGGGATGGCTACTACACAATAAAGCAACAGTAGTAACAGTGAGATTACGACAAAGAATTAAGTGTGATGAAAAATTTAAGTGCCGTGTTGAACAGGTAAAAGGAAGGGGCCTGACGCTGTTAGGAATTGTGGAAGTTGAAGTCCAAAACAGCTGGAGGCCATTGTGCCTTCATATAACTAGCCTGACCTCATCTATAACATTGATTGAAATCTTAAGGGCAAGCTGTGGCCACCTGTTTCCAAAGCAAAAATACATGCAAGTCCCCATTAAGTGAATGCAAAAGTGCCTCTAACATCTCCTAATGTGTCCGCCCATCACCGCATTACCTTGAAAGTAAAGCCACAGAGATGTGTGAAGAGAGGATACAGGATTAAACACATGATGCCATCACAAGAAATGCAAAGCCGAGGGTGCCACCCAAGCGCCAGATGCGTAGACTCCTGGAATTAGGGATTTACAGTCAGGTGATTGCATTTGCTGATGCCAACAGGAAGGTAAAGATTGTGATGTATATAGTGATGCACTTCATAATCTTAGAACTGGAATTGCATGGTGAGAGATTGAGGACAGAGTGAGAGCACAGAAGGCAGTGAAAGAAAGGACTGAGTGTGGAATGGTTTCCGATGTGGATGGATTTGAGGGAGCTGGTTGCATTTAGGAAGGATGGGCTATAGGTTGGGGAGCCAAGTGTGCCCCGCTTCCAGTCCTAGAGGCAGCCCAGGCCTCTCTGGTCTTGTCTTTTTAGATCTGTGGTTCTCAACCTTCCTAATGCCGTGATGACTTAATCCAGTTTCTCATGTTGTGGTGACCCCCAACCATAACATTATTTTCATTGCTTCTTCATAACTGTCATTTTGCTCCTGTTATGAATCATCATGTAAATACCTGATATGCAGGATATATTTTCATTCACTGGACCGCATTTGGAACAAATACCTGATATGCCCAAATTTGAATACTGCTGGGGTTGGGGGTGGATTGATTTTGTCATTTGGGAGTTGTAGTTGCTGGGATTTATAGTTCACCTACAATCAAAGAGCATTCTGAACTCCACCAATGATTCAATTGAACTAATCTTGGCACAAAGACCAAGAGAAAATACTGAAAAGGTTTGGTGGACATTGACCTTGCGTTTTGGAGTTGTAGTTCACCTACATCCAGATAGCACGGTGGACTCAGACAATGATAGATGTGGACCAAACTTGGCACGAATACTCAATATGCCCAAATGTGAACATTGAGAGTCTGGGGAAAATAGAATTTGACACTTAAGAGTTGTAATTGCTGGGATTTATAGTTCACCTACAATCAAAGAGTACTCTGAACCCAGACCACATTGCATCTGCACCAAACTTGGCACATTATCTACATGGCCAACATTGAATATTGGTTGGGGGAGCTGTTTTTGAATTCTGGGAGTTGTAGCTCACCAACACCGTAAAGGAAGAGAAGGGCAGGTGGAGAGATCTTCAGCCTTTTCTGCCAAAAGGGTTCCTAAGACCATCAGACATGTGTTTGCAATGGTCTTTGGCGACCCCTCTGAAACCCCTCTCACACACCCCCCCCCCAGGGGTTCCGACCCCTAAGTTGAGAAACACTGTATTAGGTGTTATAGAAGTGAAAGGTTTATGCATCTTCCTCCTGTCCTTGCCAGGCATAACAAGGATGGCCTTGGGGAATGAGGCTTCTCCTTCCCTGGAAATAAATGGCTGGGCTTGGATACTCTCCCTGGAAGAGATGGACTAGATCAGAGCTTCTTACAATATTTTTTAATCTGAGGTTTTTTTATGGCTCCAGTTGCCTCAAGAAACCCCAGGTATAGAGGTATAGGCAGTCCCTGACTTACACACATCTAACTCATAGTTACAAAAAAGACTGAGACAACAAGAAGTGAGAGGAACTTCTGCTTGGATGAAAGGGAAATCCATTATCCTGGGGGAAAGGTGTCTCCACTGAAGCTTTATCTCCAATCCTCGTTTCCACAACAAGCCACATTTTTTCAAAATCGAACTCCCACAGGGACAGAGTGAAAAGAAAACTTCTGAACAGGGGCACAGGCAGCAAAGGATACTCCACAGGGGTGTTTGCCCTTCCTGTATATAAATTAGAGTTGTGAGCAGATCTGTTTTCCTTCATTTCATCCACTCTTTCATTGCTTTCATTACCTTCGGGAGCACGTAACAGGAAGCCTCCTCCCGGTACAAAAATCAGCTCAACACGAAAGCAAATGGGAGCCGATCTTAGCTCCTTGTTAGCTTTTTGTGAGCAGCCTCCTTGCCTTGCATGGCTGCCTGCAGCCAAGCGCCTCCTCTGGAGTAAGAGAACTTGCCTACTTGCCTTGGAAAGTGTGTGTGGCCTACAGCTAAGCGCCCCCTCTAGAGTAAATTTGCCTCCTTGCCTTGGAAAGTGCGCATGGTGCACAGGCCCAGAAAGTGCATGCGCCTACCTGCAGACAAGTGCCTCCTGTGGAGTAAACTTGCCTTTTTGCCTTGGAACGTGTGTGTGGCATGCAGGCTCAGAAAGTGCACACGCCTGCCTGCAGACATGTGCCTTCTCTGGCGTAAACTTGCCTCTGTGCCTTGGAAACTGTGTATGGCACGCAGGCTCAGAAAGCACGCACGCCTGTCTGCAGACAAATGCCTCCTGAGTAGTAAACTTGTCTCCTTTCCTTGTAAAGTATGTGTGGTGTACAGGTCCAGAAAGTGCACACGCCTGCCTGCAGCCAAGCACTTTCTCTGGAGTAAACTTGCCTCCTTGCCTTGGAAAGTGTGTGTGGCATGCAGGCCCAGACAGCGTGCATGCCTGTAGCCAAGTGCCTCCTGCAGCCAAGTGCCTCCTCTAGAGTAAGAAACAGGAAAGACACCTCCTTACAGCATGTGCCTCTCTGCAACCGAGCACCTCTCCTCTAGAGTAAAGCTTAAATGCCTAAATGATGGTAACAGGAGCCTGGGAAGCCCTTCTCCAAATAGAAAATTGATATTTTGGCACCTCAGAGTGAAAACATATCTGC